TCGATCAAGCCAACGAAGACTTGTATGATACCATTAAGCAAAACATTATTGGCGGACCGAGTATCATACTTAATCGTCATCACGAAGTCGGAAAAACTTATATTCGAGGAAATTCCCAGAAACCTTGTGGTAAGATCATTGGCTTCGATGCTAATGCCCTGTATCTACACTGTATAGGGAAAGAAATGCCCGTTGGTTCTTTCGTGCGCCGTAAGGTAGATGACGGGTTTAAACCACAGAAACGCGATCGATACTCTCTAGCTTTTGATTGGTTAGAGTGGCTGAACCACAGTGGTCAGTACAAGATTACACACAAGCTGAATTCCGGAAAGGAAAAGAAAATAGGTCGTTTCCCGGTCGACGGCTATGACGAAGCTTCCAACACTGTGTTTCAGTTTCAAGGCTGTTACTGGCACGGTCACCGTTGTTGGTTAACGCGTCATGTTCAAGATGACAAGCTGATATATAGCCGCGAAAAGAAAACTCGCAAAACAACGCTTTATCTTCAAAGGAAAGGTTATAAAGTAGTAGAGATGCGCGAATGTACTTTCCGGAATAACATTCGGTCTAATTTACGGTTGAAAAAATTTGCAGATTCGCGTAAGCCCAATATTAGTCAAGGTTCTTTGTCTTCGGAAGACGTAATACTTGCCGTGATGAGTGATAAGTTGTTCGGAATGGACGAGTGCGACATTCGCGTGCCGGATACATGGCCAGCTCATTTCAATCATTCAACCATGACACCTTGCGAGTATTTCTCCGAAATGAGTCCTCTTTTTTGTACATCTGACATTCCGTTTGATGCAATAGGTAGACACATGCAACACCACGCAAAGGTCTTTCACCTGTCTACAAAACCTAGACGATTACTAGTCGGGGGAATGCGCGCGCGCCAATTATTAATTGCGACTCCATTACTTAAGTGGTATATAAGTCATGGTCTGGAAATCACAAAAATATATCAAACCGTGGAATTTACACCACAACGATGTTTTCAATCTTTTGTAAGCGATGTCAGTAATGCTCGACGTCAAGGTGATATAGATTCTACTAAAGCTATTATCGCAGACACGCGGAAATTAGAAGGTAATAGTGCCTTTGGATCCACCATCATGGATCAGGAAAAATTTCAGATCGTCAAATATGTTCGAGGGGAAGGAAATGCTATGATGGAAATAAATGAGCCCCAGTTTAAAAAATTAACAACATTGATAGAAGATGAGGAATTGTACGAAATAGAAAGGTGTAAAAAAAATTGAATTTGAACTTGCCCATTCAGATCGGCTACTTCATCTTGCAGTATGCAAAACTGCACATGTTGCAATTCTATTATGACTTCATGGATAAATTTGTAAACCGTGCAGACTTTGAATACTGCGAGATGGACACCGACTCTGCTTACATGGCAATATCGGGTTCTACCTTTGAGTCTGTGATTAAACCTGAACTGCGACAGATTTACGATCACGGTCTCAACGGTTATTGTACCAGTGCCCTAGAGATTGAGGCGGACTGCAATCGACATTGGTTTCCTCGCACTTGCTGTAAGGAACACGCAAAGTACGATCGCAGAACGCCGGGGCTTTTTAAAATCGAATATGAGGGGGACGAGATCATTGGTCTTTGTTCCAAGACTTACATCGTTTCAGCTCGAAAGCAAGTGTCGCTCTCAAGCGCCGTGATTACGGCGGAGCGCTTACTTAAACGCGCTAAGAAATGTAAATCACTGAACAGGCGGAAAAATATTAAACAAAGAGATATCACCCATTGTAAATTTTCATGCAAAGGTGTTTCAAAGAAAAGAGTAAAAGCACCCCTGACCACTTTTAGAAATGTTTTAAAAACTCAAAAACAAGCTTTTGGGATAAATATGGGTTTTAAACTTCACAATAACCAAATCTGCACTTATCGTCAAGTGAGGAATGGTTTTTCCTACTTTTATTGTAAAAGAAAAGTACTAGCTGACGGTGTGAGTACAGAACCATTAGATATAGAACTGTGTCCTTTAAAAACTAAAAAGAATAATGAAATCGAAATTGATGAATTTGATTTAAATCTTATTCATCTTCTAGAAGATGTCGAATAAAAAAACTCGATATACAATTAACTGTCGAATATGACTGAATAAATGTGAAGTTTTAGACAATGGAAAGGGGGGGAGGACTTCATGGTTGAGACTGTGTTTAACTTCATTGACAGGTTTTGTTTTTTTTTTTTTCATATTACTCACAGATATATCATTCTATTATTAGAAGTATATCGCGTTACTTGTTGTATATATTTAAGAGTTACTCTCAATATTGTTTATTAAACTGTCCCCATCTCTGGTCATGCGTGAGTCAGGCATAGACCAAATACATTGTATATTGATTTATGAGAAAATATTTTGTTACATCCTAGTTGTTATTTACATATACCTAATCATATAAATAATAAATGTTGATAAATAGATTTTGTATTGTCGTGTTTTTTGTAGTTTATAAGTAATCTTTTTTCTTATTCAGTAAAAAGTTTATAAGAAGCAAATTAATGTAATGGTATTGTTTTTAATTATGGAAAGACCCAATAGTACTTCAACAGAATCATGGAGGTTTCTAGGGAGTAAACTCCCGAAATCGGAAATAGTATATTTCTGTCAAATGACAGTGGTATATATCATCATAATCACTTCTATAGTTAATCTGTCATTAAAAAACGGCTCCTCTGAACTCTGGATATCTTTGCTGAGTAGTGCCATAGGTTATGTCTTACCCAACCCGTCTTTAAAGGCTGATAAGATATAAGAACCCTGCCCTATTGCAGAAGGATTAGATGAATAAACAAGATGAGTATTCCTTTTCAACCTTGTTCGAGCATGTGTATTAGTGGCCAAACAGGTAGCGGAAAGACAAGATTTGTATATCGGTTACTGACTCATTTAGATGACATGTATGTAAAGGAGCCCCCCAAAAAAATTTTATATTGTTACGGAATTCATCAGCCTTTATTTGACGAAATAGAGCAACATATTTCTAACTTGAAATTACATCACGGGATACCTTCTAATGAAACAATTCAATATTTGACTTCCGATCGTCAGCACACATTATTAGTTTTAGACGATTTAATGCATCGAGTGGTACAAGATGTAGACATGGAACTTTTGTTTACGCAAGGCTGTCATCACCGACGTCTCAGCGTCATTTTCATTACCCAAAATATTTTTCCGAGAGGCTCTAAATCTCGAACCATAGCCTTAAATACCTATTATTTAGTACTCATGAAAAACATGAGAAATGCCTCGCAGATATCTATGCTAGGCCGACAGCTATACCCAGGACGCTCTAAATTATTAATAGACGCTTACACAGATGCAACGAAACGAGCTTTTGGGTACCTCGTAGTTGATACGTCACCACAAGGCAACGACAAATATAGACTCCGAACCAGCATATTTCCGGATGAAGAACCCATAGTTTACACCAGTTTATAAGAATGCGCTTTCAAGTTTGTCTTAAAAATGAGTTTCTTAGTTAGAGACCAGAAATCCTTTTTAGAACTTTTACTACAAACATCAACCGCACAAAGAAAGCTGTTACTGAGTTCTGTGACGAAACCACAATTACAAGTGTTGGGAGAAATAGCTGCGAACGTCATACATAGTGTCATTGTACTTAACCAAAGTGAGAAAAATATACTTAAAAAGCACAAATCATTTCTTCTAGTTTTGGGGGATAAGACGGCGTCGCGAAAAAGCAAGTTACTTCTATTAAAAAGAAAACATCGGATCGTTCCCATTTTTCTAAAAATCGTAAAACCTTTCCTAAGAAGATGGTGGACGTAATGCAAAAATCTGTTTTGGTACCATACGACAAATACCAACGTCTGTTGTCTCTCCAAGAGTCGCATCAGGAAGATTTTAAACAAAGTTCTACAGAAATACCTGAACACAAACCTGAAGATATGACTAAACCTGATGAGTTACAACAGGAGAAAAATAACCAAAGCTCACAGACCGAGAATTTAGTGGATTCTGAAACTAAAGAGGATTTTTTGCGTAAATCCCCTGTGCCTTTAATAAAAATACAACCAGGACTCCAAAAGACTTTAAAAATCGCAAAAAAGATTCTGAAAAGCGCAAAGAAACCATATTCTCGATACAGACTTAATAAAACTTGGATTCAATTTTAAACCATATTCACTGTTCTATTATTGATTATTAATGCTGCATACTAATAAAGAAGTATATATTCTTTCTTATTCTTTAGTTATCTATTTAACGGGATTTACAGGTAATTCTCTAATGTAAAAGATTATTCTAAAGAAATAAACCAATTTCGTATGTGAATTTTATTAGACGATAATTACTAGTAGGTTTTAGGGGGGTGTTTTTTTTAATTTTTATTTTTTTGTTTTTTAGTCAACTCTGTGTTTTATCGAAATAGTTACTTAGTATGAACTCAATTTGAAGGTTTTTTGTTAGCAGCAATTAAGACACAATATATGTTCTATTCATGTTTCATTTTCATTAAAATTTTAAATATTATTTTCATATTAAAAAACTCAACGTAAAAAGAAAATTGTTCTTAAAATATTTTATTGATGTAATTGTTTTACATAGTCAGAGACCAAACGGTCGTTTTCATGCAGATGTGATACACTAAAATCATGCATAATGTTTTTCATGGAAAATCCCACATTTCTTTTAACAATGAAATAGATACAATAATGTCCACACACACTAGACGTTTCTGATTGGATTCTAGAACGGGAGTATTGATATTTAGGACCGTTAATTGTCAAAATGTATCTGAATCTGGTGTTGTAAAATTCCGGAGAGTTTCCTAGAGAATCAAAAAATTCTGCTGGGCCTCTTAAAGGAAAGTGAAAAGCGACCCAATGCATTCCTCTTCCTCCGCATCTGTCTGTATTCCTATGTTTCCTGGCGTTGGTTGGAAATTCATCAGCACACGTAACTTTTACGTCATATCTCGACAAATAAGATTTCAATTCAAAGTTATTCATTTGAAAATAATGCTTCGAGATTGGTCTATGTGAAGAATTTGTGGAAATTTTCCGTACAAGATTAATGTTGCGCTCTCCGGTAATGGAAATGCAAATTTGAGTTCTAGGCGACAATGTCCTTTTCTTCTTGTGTTAAAATCTATGTAGGGGTTGATGTCTAAGACGTACAATGCATTCCCTTTCGGATATTCTTCACGTTCTACGTAAACGTTTTCTCTACCCGAAACCAGGGTTTGGTAAGCTTCCAAGTAAGTATGAGACTGGTAGTTAGGCTGAAGAGGTTTGGTCGGAAACGACTGTCCGTCTACATAGAAGGCCACAAAATTACAATCAAAGGACTGAAAGTTAAAAGGTGATTTCTTATAATCTCCACTGAATGCACTGCTTGATACCAATCCTAGAATGAGGGTGGAGGGAACTTCTCCCTGAAATACGTCGTCCATGGTAAAACCGAATTCCCCTTTAGCGATGGAAGCTATTTTCAGATTAGAAAATAAGTACGGATATATTGCAGGAGACTTTTCTAGCATTTTGACATGAGCCATGGTCAGAGCAGGATTCGGTCTCTGGATACATAGCTTAAAACTAGCATCGACAATCTGAACTTTGTAATCTAAACCAGACACTGACATCAGTTTGAAGGCATCCTTACTGGGCCACAATTTTAACGAGAGTGATACTCCATTTAAAATCAAACGGTCCTGTTGGAAGAGGTCAACCTGCAGGGGGCCTTCCAAATCTAGTATTTTGCCTTCTTTAGTAAATAAATGACGTAGGTACAACCCTGAATTCATGCCCTTGATTGGATCGGCATCGTCGGGATCGTTGGAGTCCTTAATGAAAAGTTGAGAATATCGCACTCCGTAGTTATCGGCGGAGGTAGTCAATAGGGTGTCGATGTAGGCCTTGTAAGGATAGTTTGTGCCCAACTGAGATACAGGGGTTTGCTGGAGATTGGTGTCTACCTGAGCAAATATGGTATGTAAAGGTAGATTCGCCAAACCCACAGCATCTTCCTTCGTGATGGGATTGTTCAGGGGATTCAGTATTCTCAATCTGACTTTTAACCGACTATTTTTAAGATCCATGTAACCCGTAGAGAGTGGTGGTATGTTAAATTCCAAAGCAGAGTACTCTGATATTTGATTGATAGGTCTGAATTCCACCCATTCTCTCGTTTGAATGGTCGTGTCGACAGGAGGTGATTCAAAAAGGGAAAGTTGATTTAAATGATTTTCATCCATGACTAATCGTCGAATTGTGTATAGAATTTAGGTTTCTTGGACTTAGGTTTATGGTTGCGTTTGCCAGGCGGGGCTAAGAATCGTTTCTTTCTTATAGATTTATCCTCATTCGGAGAGTTGTCTTGTTCGCGCTCTAATTCGGATCTGGCCATTTCGACGGCCTGTGCCACTGGTGTAACAAGCTTCACGGTGGGTTTATGTTCTTGACTCGGGGGTTTTGCTCCGTTATGAGAACCACTTCCTACAATGTAACGCCCCTTGTAGTCCGGTCGAACTCTTCCAGCAGAAATATCTTCAAAATGGCGAACCCATTTATCGATATTCGGAATGTATGGTACCCATTGCATTTTCTTGTAGTCGTATACTTCTACTGATCCCATAATTTCTTTTTACGCAGACACAGAGTGCAATTGAAAAAATTAACTTGAGAATGAAGAACACTCAAGTCTTTGTTTCTTATAAACATCCTTATTTGACTGATTTCCTGTTTAGAAACTGTAATGTAAAAGGGATTTGTGAAGGTCATCTGATTAATTCCTCTCTCTAATGTGATGGCTCTCAAAATTGGTAACATCGTATTTTTGACGTAACTATCGCCTACGATGTCACAACATACATACAGTCTAGCTGTACTAACATCATCGTGCATATCAATGTTTAATTCTAAAATAGCACATTCCCACGAGTCGTCTATCAAGTAAGCTTTGGGTAGTGTAACAAGAAAGTCATCAGGAGTGTTGGAGGGATGGAAAATGGTAGAGTCTCTGCTGTCTATGAAAAGATATACGGCCATTGCTTGTTTTTCGTGACTTCTCCTTTACTTATATCAATTTCTTATAACCTTAGGACTCGCTGTTCCTGACGGATAAAATGAGTATTCTAGCTAAGTAATAGTCTCTTAGAACACTGGGAATTAGGGTATGATGCGACAGTAACGTTCTTTTCTTACGTGAGACTGAAACTCTAGAACTTGACAAATTCCTCAGGACTAAGATGTGTCGACGGAAAAAGCTGCGGTCGTGTGATAGTATGGGTATTGTTCTATCAAGCAGATGGCGAACGACATCACCGAGAGCGGAAATCTGTCGTTGATTAGCTCTCTGAATTATGACGCGTTGTCGACTGTAATTCGCATGCCCGAGTTCTCTTAAAAAGTCGGCATTTTGCATCACGCGAGATTGCTCCATTTTTGAACATTCTCAATCAAATCATCTAAAAATTCTTATAATATTTCAGCGATGATCGAGGGATGTAGCTGTTGAATTTTTTGGGCCATCCATACCATTTGACTAAAGCCTGGTTTCCTTGGTATTTTATTATCTTTTCGATTCTATACAAAGTGTCATCTGTGATTGTTACTTTCTGCAACTCTTGTTGGTAAAAACTACCTTTTATGTCTTCTCCATCGATATCCTGTAGTTTGTAAATCTGTATACCTTGTTTGATAGAGCGAGATTTCACGACGAAATGCTCTCCACTCCATCTTTCATCGTATTCCCGATCAAACGCTCCTCGCAACCGAGAAATGCGAACCATGTCACCAATTTTAAACTTATATTGTATGTTCCTTACGAGTTTTGACTGCGTTGAATTTGAACTGTCACTGCAAGCATAATCATAATTCTTTATCCAAATGTAGGGTTCGTCACTCTTTTTCACTTGTTTCGGAGCCATTTTGATGGAACGGTGATAGGTAGAATTATAACTTTCGGTGACTTTAGGTAAGATGTCTACCCACTGATGAGTCTGGTGTTTTGTCATGTATCGACTCAATCGAGATTTTAATGTTTTTATAACTCTTTCGGCATAGTTAGCTTTCATTTCGTTTTGAGTAAAAAAGTGAATTATACCTTTTTGTTTCAGTAATTGTTGAACCTCTTTACTAACATATTCAACTCCTTTGTCACTACGAATCTTTGCAGGGGGTGTAGAGTGTGAAAACACGAATTTTAATGCTTTAGACATCTCAGAACCCTTTGTCGATTTTAAGGGAACAGTCCAAACAAATTTTGAAAAAACGTCTATAAGTACTAAAAAATACGCATATCCGTCGTTGTCTTTTCGATAGGGAGTCATGAAGGCTGTGTCTGCGTCCCACTGGTATCCGATTTCCGGAACAATGACTTTCGTACGTTTGAATTTTCTATTGATTTGCTTATGTAGAGTAAAGGTTTCTTGCTTTTGTAACCATTTTTTGATTTTAGATCGACTGAGTACGTACTTGCCCTCCTTTCGAACAGCTCGATATAGCTTTTCCAATCCACTTAGAGACCCAGGGTGCTTTGCATCGTAATAGATGGATTCTAAGTAGTCTTCGTACTTCATGATTGTGGTATTAAATAAGTAGAACTGACTAGTACTTTTTTCTTCTTATAATGAGGTTTGTATTTCTACTATAGTTGGGTACACAATCTCATCTAGGTCCTGAACTCGTTTTATGCCATTAATTAACACGCTCCCCCTTAAGTGACATGTAAAATGAATTTCATTTCGTCGCACCATTACAGCAGGAAATAATTCAGGGTCATAAGAAAAGTTTAAGGCGGGAGAAATTGAATTAACGATTAGATAGCTTGTGAAACGCGGATGCGGTGACAATATGTACGTTGGTAAGTACGACGTCATATCCAATTCGTTGAATGTAGCGAGCATACCATCTCAGTCGTTTATGTCCAGTATTAAAACTATCGCATGCTCGCAAATAATCTTTCCATTGGAAAATATTAAACAGTTCCCTCCTATTTTTCTATGTTGAAAAATTACCCCTGGAAATTTGAGGGGATCGTACCGAACGTTAATTAAGTTGCCAGTTGTTTAAGATTAATAACACAATTCATGTCTCCTTGGTACACGACGTTTGTCAACCTCATTATTCCAGCAAATAAATTGACCATAAGTTTTTTGAGGAATATAAACATGTATATCCTAGCTGAATCATATGATTAAATAAAAATGAAGATTAATAAACGTTTAAATGAACATGTTTATTACATCTGTGTACATAATAATATTTCAATATATTTTACTCACGTCAAGCAAATATTGTTTTAATCATTGTCATTTGTGAATGTAGCCTTCAGTATCTTGTACGTCTTTTCACACATGCGCGCACACAAAATTAAAATGTAACATTTATTTTACTACAAATGATACCTAAAACAATCATGATGATAATAATTTATGAAAGTCTTTAAAAGGTGTCTTCTTGCTTGCACTGTCTCTTCTCACCAGTTCACATACTGCAGCGGGTTACAAGTAGGACACAGGAGCATGTTTAATTGGTTCATATGATCCTCGCGCAAAAAACAAGGAACAAGTGATTCGAGCTCAGGGATGACTTTTTCTATTTCATTCATGTGGGATTTCAGCGCTCTGTACTCCAAAGGTCGAAGACACAGTCCTTTTTTCGTTGGGACGAGCATTTCTTTGTCCGGTGGTTGCCAGTATTGTCTGATGTCCACACACGGATTGTCTTTTTTAATTGTACAGAAAATGTTAGAACCCATATGATAGTTCAACTCCTCTTTTTTGTTCAAAGCTGTATCAATCATGTCAAATGCGAGTGTCAATGTTTTAAAAAGGTCCAGCCTTAAACTAATTCCCTTCTTTGTCGCAAAGCGATCCGTATTCCATTCGCGTAAGTCTACTCTTTTGTCGTTGTTTTTCGTAGTATATACCTCAATGAAGCGGTCATTTTTTAATGCTAACTTACAGCAAGAAGAAAACATGTTGTCACCGTGAATGCTAGCAGTTAAATGACAAAATACTGGAGACTTTTACGGAAATGAGTATCTTTACTACGTCATATCCGATTTCAAAATCCAGGTTTGTTTCCTTCATTACCCCATCTTCATCCATGATAAACATCCGGATAACATCCATGGACATGTTAAGAGTAAATTCACCTTAGATATGTGCACCTCAAAAAAGAGGCTAATACCAAGCAAAGATAAATCCTGTTTCCTTTTCTTTCATTACAGTTCTAATGACAGGCTAAACAGTTCACTTGGTGTATGATTGCCTTTACAGGAGTTGTGCAAATGTCACCAAAGCTATAGATGAGGTGTTCATTATGTCGCTCCCATTCCGACTTCTCCGTGTCTCTTTTTATTTCTTCTCTTAAGTTTATTAAATGACTAGTTCTTGAACAATTAGAGGTTTCATTTTCAACTTGTTTATCATCTTTCAAGGTTTGGTTATAAAACTTGTGTCTTGACTCAGGCCACATGTTTAAAATTTCTCGTCTCATTTGTATGTACTGGACATACACGAACTACTTTGATGAATCAAAACAGTAAATATACGTCTTATTTCAATAATTGACACACTTTAGGATCTTAATACATTATTGACATAGTCCTTAAGTTTCAACCCATCATAACATTAAAAGAAATACAATATATTCATAGGACTGAACGTTTGTGTATTAGCTAATCATAAGTAAAAATCATCCGGGTTTGCTTCCCTAGAATTGCATAGTCATTATTAGCATCCGGATTTACTTTGTACTTCCGCCTTTAAAGCCCACCTCTCCACCTCAAATCAGTTTGCACCTCAAAGTAGCATAAAAACAATCACTCTCTACTACTAAGAAGGTAATTTGTATTCATAATTGTCAATAATTATGTCAAAATGCTAAATTAGTATTTGTACATATCTTTGCTTAGAAAAGAAAAACGCATGTATGATAGCTTTTTTCTTCTATCTCTCTCTTTCCCTCTCTAAGAAAACGTTTCAGTGGCTGCATACAGTCATGTATTTCACTCCATTGTATCATTATTGCGTGAAAAATAAATATATGATCTAATATTTTCATTTGTTTTAATATTATGACAAGATGGGTTAGCCTACGGTCTACGTGTCATATAACGAATCAAAAATGAAATCTCTGAGGGTTAAAATCGTTTTGGGGGGAAAATTTGGCACTCTTATTTCTTTTATCATATAAATTACAAATCAGTTCATCAGTAGTCAAAGTTTAAGCCCATTCTCATTGCTCA